AGAGAGAGAGAGAGAGAGAGAGAGAGAGAGAGAGAGAGAGAGAGACAACGCGTGGCAGAATGTCGAATTGAGAGAGGCAATAGAATCTAGACCGCGCATTTTAGCCCCGTGAAGGGGGGCGCGGGTTAGGTCTCGAAAACTTGCTCGATTACCGGGGCTATATAGGGAGATCCGCGAGAATCTAAAATACGCCTCGATGAAGACGCGGCACGGTCAACGACCCGTCGTCGCGTCGTCCCTTCGACGAGGATAGAGCGGCCGTTCATTCTTTTGTCCGTCCGATGGTTCTCCCCCATAGTCGCCGCGATTCGTGTTCGCGCCGGCCGACTGGAAAGTTCTTGGTCAAGTCGCGAGCGAAGGAGCGCGAATCAAGGTGAATACACCTTTTTACGTTAGACGCCGACCTTCCTGAGGCTGCCTGATGTGGGCTTCGTCACGGCTCGGCGATTCTGCCTGCTTTCATATAGACACGTCCGACCGTGAACGCCGAGAGCGCGACTCGATGGAATTCGAATGTAGAAACGTTCCCCGGCGTTGTGTCGTGCCTTCCCTTCGGTTCGTTCGTTCGTTCGTTTATTCCTTCATTTATTCGTTCGTTGATGGGGACTCGCGAGGACTCGTCACGCGACGAGGACTCTCGGTCGGGGCGAACATCGCCGAATGAAAGCGGAATTCTGTTCCCCCGGCCAGAAAACGTTTCGGTTTCTATGGTCGGTGTATTCGTAGTCTGTTTTTATTTCAAAATCGTCTTAAGATGCTAATACGATGGCTGTGTGACTGGTTGGTTCACGATATCTTGGACTGTACAAGATGGTCTTAAATATAAGACTGGATTATGAATACTGGCCCGAATATTTAATCAATATTCGTCTCTTTTTTTTTATCGAAAGCTTTTCCTCAATACCAGGTATTTACTTCTGAAAATCTATTGTATGTTTTAATATCATGGATTCTCATATTTATAATGTTAAACGATTAGTGTTAAACTTGGAGCAATGACGAAAGCACTTCTATCGCAAAACAAATTGAGATTTTAATTGTGATATGAAACGACATTTGTAGGTAATATGATAAAAATTCAGTATACAAAAAGCTACGCGCGATAAACTTTACATTCAAATGTTCATTTCCAAATGTAAATGAAACAAATACCACCTCGCTCTCGTTTGACCTTTCCCTCGTGATACATTTTTTGCTGCGACTTCTTTTATTGAAAGCGTTATTCCAATATATTTTTTAAACGATGATAAAATTTGCTGGAAATCGAGAAACAGGTCCGTATTCAGAACGCGCTTTTATCTCTGAAATTCTATAGTATGCGTAACGTAAATTATAGCATGTTAGAGCGCTAACATTGTTGTGAGCGCGTTCTGAATACGGGCCATAATTTTTTTGAGGCACACACAATGTGCCCTCGATACACCATGACGAAACAAAGAAGCTCCGCTGCCATTTTATATTTCGTTATCTACTCTTATCGAACCATAGCCGATATGGGCTGTAGGATTATTCATGAAGTTGAAAGTCATAGGATCTGTTTAATATTTTCGTTTACGAGTTTACGGTTTCGAAATAAACACGCGATCGTGTAAATTGCGTTGACCGTTACGCGAACCGCGTATCGCCAATTTATCGTGGTGTAATATCGACGTGTTTATAATTGCACGCTACCGTGTACATTACGGAAATCAGTATTTCCAGTTTCGTCAATAGGATGATCTCGTTACTACCGTTAGTCATTGCTTCCTGCGCACTTCCACGAGGCTCCATTCGAAGACGATGAATCACGGGACTGTAGACGAATCTAGCATCGCTTCTCTTCCCGTTTCTCTTACATCGATCACGATTTCAGGACTTTGTATTTTTAGAGCCACGCGCGATAAATGTCCTTGACACTGCTACGTCCTTCCCGCGAATGCAAAAATTATTTGTAATTGTGAGAACTGCTGCAATCACCTCCCGCTTCCATGCTTGCAAAGTTAATTATCTCGATAACAAAATTTTATTCACCAAAGTTGTCACAAAACTAGAAATTAGGGAAATTAGGAAATTATCAAGGAAATAACATATTTTTAATTATTTTTAGTACTACAGTTGTAAAAATTAGAATTGTGCGTGTAATCAAAATTTATACACAATGGAATGAACGGGTAAAAATGATAAAAATGATTAATATTATATGTATATGATATTACGATTAATATTAAAAAATATATTTACGTAGTTTATGCAGAAAGCATAAATTTTTATTTTAATTAGCAAATCACGATAATTTAAAGACAAAAAAACGAATCAATAATACAAGATATTTTGTGATAAAATCTTTTTTTTTATATATTAAAAAAAATTTTGGAGCATAGCAACAAAATAAAAATGTTTTTATATATTTACAATCGGGTTTACCATTCAATATCTTGCAATAAACCAATTTATTTGTTTCGTCGATTTCTAATCTATTATTGATTTTATTTCGAATAAAGCTTAAATTGGAAAACACATTTACTGGATTGACGCTAAACTAGAATAGTGAGACTAGAATACTAAATTGGAGAGTTTCGATAATAAAATTTTCTATTTATTTTATTGCTTTTAATAGAAAAGTTCAGCTTTTGCTAGTTTGTTTCGTAAAAAATACCTTTTTTTAACAATCTAGCATGGATTGTGCTTGAAAGAATGTGAAATTTTGTCAACTCTCATTTACGGGGTTTCTAAAATAACCAATTCAGACAGTTATACAACAGTGTTATACAAAAAAAAGTTGAACATAAAATGAAAAGTGCATTCATGAGGATACAATCTTATTTAATCATATAATATTTTAGTATATATGCTTATAATGCAAATTTTACTATATATATATGTTAAGACGTACGAAACTTGTCAGGTAGGCAACTTGTTAAAATATATTATATAAAGTTTATAACACAGATTCCACACACATATACACACAATTTTGTGAGGTCTACAATAAATGTCGACGCGTAATTTAGAATTTAGAGCTAACGCATGAATCTACAATGTTTTAATGAAACTGTTTAAAATCCGCGCTAGAACATATAATGGATAATTTGCACAGTTTTAATTAGATTTCAAGTTTTGCGCTTATCCGTATTGTTCAGCGATTATTTCGTATTCAAAAAGTAAAATATTGTATTTTAGTTTTCTGACTGTCGGAATGTCATTGTCCGACTATATGTATTATGTAGCGTTACATTGATAAATTTTTGAATGATAAAAAATATTTTTATTAGATTGTTTTAACATTGATTGAATTGGCGCATTAACCTGAGAATAATGACTTAAACGGAAAATTCGTGTTAAATTTAACACATTTCACGTGTTTGCATCTAAAAATTTAACTTGAGATGAATATATGTGTTAGGAAATAATACTAAAATATAACACTGACACAATTTGTAAGGAAATTATAAAAGCATATACCCCTTTTCAATAAAATGAATATTTATATTATATTATAAATATATTTCTCAGTAAATTTAACATTTATGATATGTTAAGTTAAAATATTTTATTTATTTATCTCTTAGAATTTACATTTTTATATTGTTTGTTCATGAATTGTATTATTTTAGCACAAAGAAATGTTGAATACTAATTTAATACAAAATATTTAAATAAGACAAATATTGTACATTGTGTTATTTAATACTGAAATATTCAAAATTTTAACATGGACCAGTTTTAAGTTTTAAAATAAAATACGTGTTTTTAGCTATTTACTATATTCTGATTGTTACACAAATTTACTCAATATTTTCTTAAAAAGTAAAAAAATATATATAAACAACAGTGATAAATTTATCAATTAGGAAAACTGATTATAAATTTTCTTTTCTCACTGTTAGAGTGTAAAGATCACTCCGAGTAAGTGACTACTTTCAAAGTAAGACTCCTAATCCTAATGGCGACCCTTTGCATCAATGTTAATTATAGATAGTAAGTATTAGATAAAATACTAAGTTTGGAAGTGCCATACTCTCTTTTGAGATATAATATATGTAGCTTTTCACGCAGCTTATATCATACAGCCACTGTTTTGTACCACCTCTGCGTCTTTTACATTGTTGCCTCGGCTACCTGTGTGCATTTCCGTATCTCCTTGTAGTTACTTGCGCCCGCAGCTCCCGTCGTGACCTTCTCTCCTATCGCGCCGGAGATTTACGGCTGGCCGAAGTGTACAGGTGCCTTTTAGTCAGGCATGTTTCTTCTACCGTTTCTACCGAGTACTTAATTCCTTGACGATTCTTGGCTGCCACGTCACGGAAATGACTTCTGGCATTCCCTCAGTTACAGTTACAGTGCACTTTTCTGCGGGGAGAGGACAACGATTTTATTTGCTTTCATTCGTATGTGCACATAACGTGGACACTTGGCCAGCAATAAAAACCCATAGCCATATGCGAGGGACAACTTCCAAGGAAATGCAGGTGTGATTTGCATAGGATTATCATTCGCTGTATATTTTGCCGGTGGTCGAAGCGCTGAATCTCGTTGAAGGAAACGCATTGATGCGCCTTTAACGTCATGAAAGGAAAATCATTCACGGCGAAACAGACTGCGGCAAGGCCGTGGTTACCTGTAGTAACTATAGCGGACGTATCCATCAATCATTTCGCAGCTTATCT